ATAATAATTTTACATCTAAAAATCATATTTTATTATATTTTCCTCATTCAGCAACCTATTAAATTTCTGTTTCATGTATGAGAAATAAACGTTTTTTTCCAGTCAGTATTTAATACAACTGGCAAAATAAATTGTTAAAATATTTATGATGTCCTTCTGTTTTTTAATTCAGGAGATTATAAAAAAATCCTTCGTTATGAAAAGACCCTCTTGATTCAAGAGAAAACTCCAGTTTTTTAAGAAAATGGCTGTGTATCAATTAATTGTTAGTCAGTCTATAAGATATGTCAACTTCAGATTAATTAATTAATCAATAACTTGCATCCCTAATTTATACAGGAATTGAATTAATTTTAATCTACCCATTTTCATGTAATTAATCGTTTTAATGATTCGGCCAATTAATTGAAAAAATAATCGACAGATTAATCTATTATTAAAATAATCGTTAGTTGCAGCCCTACTGTGTTAAATGTATACTTGATATATACTTGATAACTGCCAAAGAATTCCTATACATCTGAACTTTGTGTGAAAGTACAAAATGTCAAGTAAAAGCTCTGAATCTGAAAYGTTTACCTCATCTGAATCCAGCACTTCTGTGACATCTTCGTTGACTGGAACGCCTGAAGTCGCCGCAGAATTCACGACTTGTATCGARTGCGCAGATGCAGCGGCAGTTTTTGTGTTGGGTAAGATAATCTGCGCGGATCCTTTGTCCTGAATAGATGCAGGAACTATTTTTATCTGGAGTGGAGGTGGAGGTGTGGCTGTGATGGGCACGGCGTGGCCTGGGATGGCGGCCCCCTCTCGGGGTTTYGCCTGTAAGGGCGGAGGAGCCGGTGCCATCTGCTGAAGCCGCGGCGGAGGCGGRGCATTCTGCATCTGCTGCAGCGGAGGCGGCTGCCGGGAGGCGCTGGAGACCAGGAGGGTCGGCTGCGAGGTGTGGACCCCCCCAGGCAACAACGTGACCACCTGCCCTGCTGCCTGCAGGATGTGCTTTGGGATGAGGATCTTGGTGATGGTCTGGGTCGGAGGAGACGCTGCGGGGGCTTGGTTTGCTCCTGTCCGGGAACGAGTCGTCACCTCCGGGACATCCAGGATGATGTTGGAGGCACAGATATTAGTGATGGTGTTCTGCTCTGCACCGCTGCTAACCAGAGGCAGAAGGATGGCCTGGTGATCGGAGGAGGGAGGGGCTGCAGAGGTCAGATCAATAACAGGTGGAGGTGAGGGAGGAGTCGTCTCTACTTCAATAACATCAGGCTGGGAGAAGGAAAAAAAACACAGAAAAATGAGTGAATGAAAATAAAAATGAAAGCTTGTGTTTCTRGTGGGAAAACACATCATAACCTTTCATTACTGAGTTTTAGACTAACATCATCTTTGCCACGTTGGTCAAACCTTTACAACAAACATATAATTTCATGCAACATTGTGAGATGCCAGTATGTGAGAATGACCCTCTACTACTACCATATCAAATTTAAATTGATGTCTGCAAACTGGACTGAGTTATYGCCYTTTTTGTGTTAGTTAATGATTAGCTGTGGTGGRCATCTTGAATTACATCGACTCCAAAAGCTAAWCAGTTGCAGGTGTACATCTGCAACTTTCTGCAAGCTTTTTGTAAAAATCCATAAAGCGGTTCATGACAATTTGTTAAAGGGATCCACGATTAGTAGTAACATTGGACTTTATTAGATAAACATTTATTTTAACTGTAAAAACACTGTAGGCTGTTTAGTTTTTATCTTTTTTAAAATATATTTTAACACGGACAGAGCCATTTTATTTCCACACAAAGCATTCTG